TGGAAGTACTCTTCCATGGAGTTGACAATTTGAATCAAAAGTTCTTTGTATTGAATATTCTTTGCATGAACTTCATTTATTTTACTCTTGGCACAAATAGACCCAATGTTATTAGTTCTACTTACTAGTTGAAGAAGGAGGCTCAGAGAGGATGAACTGCTCAATGCTAACAAGAAAAAACAGGACATATGAGACTGGATGCTCCTAGTCATGATCATTAGATGAGGGATCTGCCCACTACATCATATTGTTCCCCCACTGGTTCTATTGAAACAAATCATTGAAATTAACAATCTTTAATTAAAAGACATGATTTTGCTGTGGAGTTATTTGGCATTTGGTTACGGGTAAAAGGTGATGGTTTCAACATACTCACTCTCTGCTCCTAGGTATACTGCGTCAAGGTGGCAGCACTGTTCTAAGTGTGAGTTGAAATAAGCAGGCTGTTCTTCAATCACACTGAGTTCTTCATCATGTCAACAGAAGATAACTAGCTCTCTAAAGTGTTTCTAACATTTCAACAGTGACCTCTAAAATGTGCCTTTAGAATAATTAACAAAAAGGAGAAGGTTTTATTTAATAATAACCTGTGTTCCTGTATTCAGCTGCCCAGCATTGTGCCTCCAGTTCCCTATGTCCAGCCTCTCCGTGTTCCGATCACACATACTAAGATCACACATACTAAGAAGGAGAGTCACTGAAACTATTTTCAACTAATTCAGCTATGCTCTGCTATGATTCAGAACCTTTATTTACTTTTACTTCAAGAATAAGTATTTAGTTTCACTGGGTGTATAAAATGTTTGTTATTAAAACTTTATACATAAATGATAGGTAGCATAGAGAAGGGGAGGGACTTGCTTTAAGTTATACAGGCAGTTATGGCAGGGATGGAGAAAGATCTCATATCTTTTATACAGGTGAACAAGAATTGGAATTTCATTTGGTCAGCAGATAATGTTACATAGCTCATAAAAGCATGAAATCTGGCATCAGATGCAGTTTCGTCCTAGGTTGCTACTTAATATATGAAAGAATTAGTGTAATTAACTGAAGTCTCCTATTTTTTGTTCCCCATCTCTAAAATGAGTACCAGAATAGTATTATTGGATTGGTGTAAGTTAAATACATGCAATATATTTACAAAAGTTCTAGACATAATATATGCTCTTTTTAAATATCATTTGATATATAATGATGGCCGTAATCTAAAAAGTATTTAAAAGATTAAGTCTGTAATAAATCATGTATGACCTACATCTTTTTTTAATGTGTAAATCTCTCCAAAACTTAAAAAGTGCTATTGAAGATGTATTATGTTCTGTCCATTTCAGATGAATTGAGTTTCTGCTGTGTACTAGGAATTCAACTTAACCTCATGGAAAATCAGAACAATGTCACAGAATTTGTTTTCGTGAGGCTGTGGGGAAATAAGCAAATAGAGCTACTGTTCTTTTTCTTGTTCCTGCTCTGTTACCTGGCCATCTTAATGGGGAACTTCATCATCTTACTCACGATCACCTGCAGCCATCTAATCCAACAACCAATGTACTACTTTCTCTGCCACCTTTCCCTCATGGACCTCTGCTACACCTCCACTGTGGTCCCCCGGCTGATCAGGGACTTAGCGGCAGCAAGAAAAAATATTTCCTATAAAAACTGTATGACCCAGCTCTTCACTGCCCACTTGCTAGCGGGTGTGGAAATATTCATCTTGGTGTCCATGGCCTTTGACCGCTATGTTGCCATTGTCAAGCCCCTGCAGTACATGGTCATCATGAACCGGCAGAGGTGTAACATGCTGATTATCGTGGCCTGGGTTGTGGGGTTTTGGCACTCTGTTGCTCTGCTGCTCATGGTACTCAGTTTGCCTTTCTGTGGTCCTAATCAGATC